GTTGGTCAGTGAGGTGGGAGGATCGGATAGGTGGGAGAAAAGACGGACAGGTCAAGGAGGCGGGGACGAGCTGGGCTGGTTTTGGGATGAGGTGGGGGATGGGGAGATTTTGAAGCTTGTGAAGTCCACATTGAGACCGTTGGGATGCAGGGTTCCCAAGCGAAATATAAGGTGCTGTTCCTGCAGCCTTCGGGTGGCATCGTTGTGGCACTAGAGGAGGCCCTGGATGGACATGTCGGCCAAGGAGTGGGAGGGGGAGTTGAAGTGGTTCGCGATTCCCAAGCGAAATATAAGGTGCTGTTCCTGCAGCCTTCGGGTGGCATCGTTGTGGCACTACAGGAGGCCCTGGATGGACATGTCGGCCAAGGAGTGGGAGGGGGAGTTGAAGTGGTTCGCGACTGGGAGGTGCAGTTGTTTGTCACGAACCGAGCGTAGGTGCTCCACAAAGCAGTCTCCAAGCCTCTGCTTGGTTTCCCCGATGTAGGGGAGGCCACATTGGGAACAGCGGATACAATATACCACATTAGCAGATGTGCAGGTGAACATCTGTTTAATGTGGAAGGTTTTCTTGTGGCCTAGGCCTCAGTTTTCCTGCTCCTCTGATGCTGCCCGGCCTGATGTGTTCATCCAGCTCTACACCTTGTTATCTCATGATCTTTGAGGTTCTGCTTTCTAATTTAGTGCCTGGCTCCTTGTACTCTATGTGCAGAATCCATATCATCATTCTGGGTACCTACATGGACTGTGACCACTAGATAGTCCCCCACCTACTGCAAGTTCCTTTTCAGCCCTGAACATTTGTCCCAAACTTTGGTACTGGGGATGCAACGCAGTCACTTTTTGTAGAGAACAATGTAAACCTGCTCATGATATGATTACTAGTTATGTCTGTTGTAAACTGTTGCTTCCCCACTGTACAATGGTGCCATTGTCAGTTTGCACAATTCATCTGTTTCACTAACGTGAAAAATTAGGGAAGAAAACTGCTATCCTTACCTAGTCTGGCCTACATGTGACTCCAGATCCGTAGCAATGTGGTTGACACTTAGATGTCCTCTCGTCAGTTAGGAATGGGCAATAAATGTTGGCCCAGCCAGTGATGCCCAAATCCTGTGATTGAATAAAAATATGTTTTCTATTGTCTTTATAGTCCTCTTTTGTTGGATGCTGAATTCATCCCAATCTTTGGAGTCTTACATGTTTTTTCATTCAACTTAATACTCTCCTTAACTTAGTTACATAGAAACACAGAAGATATGAGCAGGAGGAGGCCATTTGGCCCTTCGAGCCTGCTGCGCCATTTTTCACGATCATGGCTGATTGTCCAACTCAATAGCCTAATCCTGCTTTCTCCCCATAACCTTTGATCCCATTCACCCCAAGTGCTATATCTAGTTGCCTCTTGAACACATTTGATGTTTTGGCATCAACTACTTCCTGTGGTAATTAATTCCACAGGCTAACCACTCTTCAGGTGAAGTAATGTCTCCTCATCTCCATCCTAAATTGTCTACTCTGAATCCTCATACTGTGACCCATGTTTCTGGACACACCCACCGTCGGAAACATTCTCCCTGCACCTACCCAGTTGAGTCCTGTTAGAATTTTGTAAGTCTCTATGAGATCCTCCCCTCATTTGTTTGAGCTCCAGTGAAAACAATCCCAACCTAGTCAATCTCCCTTCATATGTCAGTCCTGCCATCTCTGGAATCAGCCTGGTAAACCTTTGCTGCACTCCCTCGAGA